CCACCCGGGGTATAAAAACTCACAAGTAGGATTTAAAATGTAACAATTCCATGTCCTGCTGCAGTGTCCCTTTCCCCTCCAGCCTCAGTCATTGGTCCGTCCTCTTCCCCAGCCTGGAGGCTGAGCAGGATGTGACCCCAGAGGGGCCCCAGGCAGCCCCGGTGACTCGAACTCATCCTGCAAGCCCGGAATGGTTTGTGCTGGAAGGGACCTCAGAGCTCATCCTGTCCCCCTGCCGTGGGCAGGGACATCTCCCACTATCCCAGGCTGCTCCAAGCCCTGTCCAACCTGGCCTGGGACACATCCTGGTGTGCCTCAGCCTCTCCCTGCAGGATCTGTGTCCCTTTGTCACAGAGCAAGCCCGGTGCTGATAAATGGCTTTATTTGCTGCGTGGAGCCGGGCTGTGCTCTGCAATCGATGGCAGCTCTGTGTCAGGGGGACATGGGGACACAGGCTCAGCCATGTGTGTGCCAGCCTCGTAAGCAATGGAGTGTAAAAACCAAATAACCAAAAACCTCTCTAGCGTTGTGAAAGTTTTATGGTCATTTTTCCAATTACATAATAGAGTTCATAATCTGTTATGAATTAGCATAAATCAGAATCAGCCCACAATTAAGAAAATAAGTTAAATTGCATTTTGGGAAGCATTGTTCTGTCTGGACAGTTTGCTCTCGTGCTGCTAACCTGACAAATTCGGTAATTCACAACATTCTCCTTGGAGTCAGTTGGATTTACTGAGGACTTACAACAGCCTGTATGTACAGGTTACAGCAGCCCTGGGTGCTGCAGACAGGCTGGTTTCAGGAGAGCAGAGTGTCCTTCAAAAGCCAAACTGCTGAGTCTGTGTAAGGTTGGGTATTGGGAGAAATTCCTTCCTGTGCAGCCCTGGCACAGCTGCCCAGGCAGGGCTGGAGTCCCCATCCCTGGAGGGATTAAAAAACCCTGTGGATGTGGCACTTGGGGCCATGGGGCAGTGCTGGGGAAGGGCTGGACCCATTGAGCTTAGAGGGCTTTTCCAACCCAAAGGATTCTGTGCAGGCAGGAGGGAATCACCACCCAGAAATGTCAGGAGCATCACCAGCTTAGCAGACAGAGTTTGTGGGTGCTTTGGCCACCATCATGGTATCCCCACATGATGTCAGGAGTGATGTTCAGACGACAACAGGAGACAAGAAGCAGTGAAGAGCAGGTTTTCATCAGCCTGTGGATGGCTGGAGAGCCCTCAGCCCTCCCTGCTCCTGTGTGGGGTGACCACGGCTCTGTGGGAGTGGCTGCTGGCCAGCACAGGGCCTGGCACAGGGCACTGGGGCTGTGCCCATGTCCATCTCGGGCTTTGGAATGACTGGAATGACACTGGTGTGGGCAGGGCAGGGCAGTGGCTGCAGCCCTGGAGCCTTCCCTTGGCTGTAGCTGTCCCTGCAGAGAGGGCAGTGTCCCTGCAGGCCACTGTGCCTGGGGTGGGATGATGGGATGGGAT